TCCCTATGCTCCCTAGAACAGTCAGCTACCACTTGCTCCCAGAACCGCGGATTAAGTTGCCCACCAAGCCTTCCTCTGAAAGCATGAGCTGAGATAACCGTTTCTTCCCTTAAGCTGTTTTGGTCAAGATTTTTGGTCTCAAAGTCACGAAAAGTAACTAACATGGCAGGAGTGGTTCCTTGAAAACTTAGACATCAGGGCTGGGGAGAGAGTGAGCCAGTAAAATGTTGGGGCAGGTGGGTGGCACATTCGTGTAATCCTAGTGCCAGAGAGGTAGAGCCAGGAAGACTCTTGGGGGTTGCTTACCAGTCCGCCTAGCCTAGCCTGCTGGTCCAAAACGAGTCAGTAAGAGGCCTTGCCTCAAGAAAACAAGATAGATAGCACCTGAAGAAAAACATCTGAAGGTCCCTCAGGCCTCCGCATGCACGGGCGCACGCTGGAACTTGGGAAGAACAAGAACGACTCAGCGAGTAAGCTCTGTCTGCCATGCAGGAACAGGTGTCTCAGTCCACCACACACCACTCTGAGGGCACCTTGATTCGGGACTTCCAGCCTGAAGAACGGGGAGGGGCTCATGTTTGCGACTCTAGTCACACAGTAGGAAGCACACTCTTCTGTCAGTCCCAGCAGACAAATGCCGACAGATTCTTCAGTGAGGGAGGCAGACAGAGCCAGTGACAAATTTGGAACCAGTCGAGACAGACTTCACAAAGGCAGCCACAGCACAGCTGAGTCAGGTGATCGGCAGGAGCAAGCTTAGCAAAAGCAGGAAACAAACACCAAGGAAGTTCGCTAGGGAAGCTTCAGCGCACCAGGAACAGTGTGTGCTCCCAGGTGGTGTGGTAGAGGAATGAACAGGTCTCTGTAGAGAAGCATGGACCCCTGGTGTCACCTGTCCCTGCAACACCCCCAGGGCATGCATATTTGAAGTCTGAAACTTGAGAACAGAAATACACTCTTTGAGATAAAGACAAATATAGCTAGGCATAGCGGTACATGCTTGTAATCCAGTACACGGGAGACTGAGGCAGGAGGATTGCTATGGGCTTGAATCTAGCCTGGGTGACAGAGACTCAGAAAGAAGGAAGAAGAGATAAAGGTACAGCTACTGGGATATGCTGGCCTTTCCTGGTTAGATGGGAAACACTGCTGGGGACGCACTATTAGACCTCGCTGAAAAATGATCTGTGCTTTGTAACTGGCAAGACTCAGCAACATTTGACCAAAGTTTTAAGTTTGCCAGGGATTCCACCACAGATTGTTGTCAATAGGTCACCAGCCAGAAGAAAAATATAACCAGTTTTTGGTGGCTGGGATGGTACAGCTAAGAAGGCCGTGAGCGGAGAACAAGGACCCTGAACCAGGCAGGTGCTGGGGTTTCCTGGAGGCAGAGGATGTGATAACATCCTCAGCTGGCGAGCTGAAGCAGCTCGCTCTCTCTCCAAGTCACATTCGTGTCTGTTCCATCTCTCCATCTTGGCTTAGGTGATCTTCGAAAGTCTTTGAAAATCCCTTAGGAGTACTTGTTTTGGCTCTGGTGCAGACCTCACCAGTGGATGAGTAGGCGAGTGACCCTCCTACCAGCTGAACTGCTTGCTGCCGCCCCCCCGGATTCTGATCCCCAGTACTCTCCTCACCTTATCATCCTCTTCAAGCCAGCCCTTCCTCAAACTCCAGCAGACCCCAGAGGCCCAGATACAATCCGCACTGTCAGAAGAACAGCACTCCTCCCCTGGGCTCCATATTCTGGTCTACATCTTCAGGGGAAGACTTCAGTTTTATCAGAGGCCCAGGCTGGATCTAGGGACCCAAGGACCCAAAACTGCAGTGGAGACACCCCACTGGACCTGAAGACTTGCCAGTCACCAGAACCCTTGGCCAAAAGACTAGAGAGGAAACAGAAAATAAAGGAACAAAATACTCATCCAACAAAGACATATGCAGCAATCAACACCTAGACCAATAATCATCCCAAATCCAGATGCCTAAATGCCAGTGTAAGAACACAATAATAGAATGGAAAATACAACACAACCAGAAACCAGCGATCATAGGATATCAAGACCTGAACATTCCAACACAGCTGAGGCACAAGAAAATGACTGTAAAAATCACTTTATAAAAATGATAGTGGCCCTTAAAGCGTAAATGAAAAATCCCCTCAAAGAAATCAAGGAAAAGACAAACAAAACACAGCAAGAAGCATATGTTTCATCCCTTTATCCTTGCTTAACTCATAAAGCAGGCTACATCTAACTGTGAAGCTGAGAGTGGTTGCCTCAATTCATAGACAGAAAGTTTGGTAGGAAATCTCCCCAAAGACAAACACCACTACCCTAAAGCTGAAGGGAAACCATCCCAAAATTAAAGGACATCATCTCAAAACTGAAAGGTGGGTATGGCAGTTGGTTTGAACAAGAATGGCCTCCATAGACTCCCAGATTTGATTGCTGAGTCACCAGGGAGTGGCACTATTAGGAGGTACGGCCTTGTTGAAGGATGTGTGTCAAAGGACAGAAGCTCAAACTGGGCCCAGTGGCTCACTCTTGCTTCCTGCTCTCTGCTCATCCAGATGTAGAACTCTTAGCTACTTCTCCAGCACCATGTCTGCCTGCACGCCACCATGCTTCCTACAACAACCTCCGAAACTGTAAGCAAGCCCCAGTTAAATGTTTTCCTTTATAAAAGCTGCTGTGGTCATGGTGTTTCTTCATGCCAATAATGATTCTAAGACAGTGGGTCCACCAAGCAGAAACAGGACCTGATGCCTTGTTTTCTCTTAGAGGTGGAAAACAGCTGTTTAAGAAGCCACAGACCAGAGCTGTTCATTCATGAACTGTCACATCTGGAAATACCCAGACAAAGAGCCTGGAGACACCAGCGGAGAGATGGATAGGGACAGGCAACGTCACCAGAGGGCTGAGTTTGAGATGATAACCTGACTGGTGATGTGGGAGTCCCCTCTGTGTGCTGTGAATACCACTGGTGAATAAAGAAACTGCCTTGGCCTGCTGATAGGGCAGAACTTAGGTAGGCAGGGAAAACTAAACAGCATGCTGGGAGAAAGGAGGCAGAGTCAAAGAGAAGCCATGTAGCCCCACCAGAGACAGATGCCAGAACTTTATCTGGTAAGCCACAGCCTCATGGTGATACACAGATGAATAGAAATGGGTTAAATTAATAGGTAAGTGTTAACCAATAAAAAGCTAGAGCTAATGGGCCAAGCAGTGATTTAATTAATATAATTTCTGTGTGATTATTTTGGGGCTGAGCAGCTGGGAACAAAACAAGAAGTGGCCTCCCTACAATAGACTGGACAGCATTTTGAAAATGTACAATACTAACAACATTACAAAGTTCTTATACTACTTGAGAGGCAAGCTAACATCAGGGATTTAGGAAATAGTACTCAAGACTATGAACAGAAACAGGTGTCAAAGTAATGAAAGCAATTTTGACAGAGTATTTATTATAAAAATTCCAGTCAGATGGGCAGATATGTTTTTTGAATGTGAAAATTAAAAGTCTACATGAGGGAAGAGGGGCAGGCTGTGTGTTTCAGAAGAACCCTGACTCGTACCAAGCTAATCCTCAGCACCAAGAGATAAAATACACAGGTAAAAATTCAAAACTGAAAAGAAGATCTCACAAAATTAATAAAAACTGTATAGGCAAAAAACAAGTAATGAAGTATGTTAATTAAAACATAGATGCCAAACTGATAGGACAGAGATTGCTGCTTGACAAAAAACTAACGCCAAAATCCTGTTATCTCTAAAAAATACAAATAAGCTCACCTATAAATCAGTTATACATCATGTTCAGTTTAAGATTTATCCTAAGTCAAGGCTGGTGTCACTTGTCTGTCATCCTAGCATTTAGGAGGTTTAGGCAGGAGGACCTAGAGCTCAGGGTCAACCAATATTATAGTGAGACCCATCCGAAAACAAAAAAAAATTATCATGCTTTATATTACAAAAATATATAAACCAAAATAGTAAAGATTACAACCACGAATTTATCATTAAAATGATTGGTGTGGACAATGGTCTGTATTCTGTCAATTATATTTCAAATAAACATTGATTGGCCAGTAGCTAGACAGGAAATATAGGTTGGACAACCAGACAGGAAGTAGAGGCAGGTCAATGAGAACAGGAGAATTCTGGGAAGAGGAAAGCTTTGTCTGCAGTTCCTGACCCAGCAACAGAAGTAAGATGTGATGGCCTCACTGAATAAGGTACCGAGCCACGTGGTTAGCATATACAAGAATAATGGGCTAGTGTAAGTTATAAGAGTTAATAAGAAACCTGAGCTAATGGGCCAATCAGTTCATAACTAATGTAGACCTCTGTGTGATTTCTTTGGGACTTAACGATTGCAGGAACCGGGTAGGACAGAAAACCTCAGACAACAAATGATATAACATTACAAGATACAGGAACATCCATCAAAACCGCTTGCTTCCTAACTCAGCATCTCTAGAACTTCTGAGGATATGTGAGGCACCATCAGTACCATCTTTGCAGATATTGCTCCTGTCCCTTTTTCGTTCTGTGACTCCCAGGATTTTAGGACGTGCCATGTAGCCCGTCTCTGCCCACGACTATGTGTTCTGCTCTGCAATGCTTGTGTTAAAAGTCACCCAGCAGGTATGTATATTACAGACAGTAGGCAGCTAATAAAATACTTGTCGAATAAACAAATATATGCCAGTGAGAATCATAGCCACAACCCTGCCCTGACAGTCACACAGGTTGAAAAGAATTCCAAAGAGATGAATAGTGTTTCCCTTCCTACCCTCGTACTGGCTAGTTCATGATCATCATTTCCTCGAAATGCATAGCTGGCATTTGATTTAATATTACTGGACAGGGCCCAATATGTATGAACTCATTGTAGTGAGACCAGTTATTTTGTACAAGTGATTTATGGCAGTAAAAATGTCCAACCAAACTGCTAAGTACCAAATAAAGTTTTCGTAACCAATATCCACTGACCTTGTAAGGAGGTAAGGTGAAAACGAAGCTGGGTTGTCCTGCTCGGAGAAGAGGGGCATAGTCCCTCCCATTATCCACAGGCGGAAATACAAAATGACAGTCACCTTGGAGGAAGGAGAAGACCTGATGAAATATTCACCCATGTCTCTTCCATCTTTGTACGTGCATTCTGATCCTCTATCAAGAAACAGAGTCAACTGTTCCCTCCTCTTACAGCTGACAGATAAGCCTGCCTGGGTAATCCTGGCCCCAAGTCACGCCATGGGAAACCATGCAACTGGACCTGGACAAGCAGCAGGGAGCTATATCTATGTCTCTGGATACCAGGCCTGGATACTGTGTCCAGTAGTAGACAACGGATACATCCAGGTCACTTTGAAAACACTTAAAAGGAACTTTAATACCCTGTGTCGTTAATGCTATGCCATCAGGTTCCTGTGTATGCTTACACACACCTTTGCTTGAAAGTAACATTCACCACCTATAAACCTTCCTTGAGAGATGTGTTGATAGTGAGTTTATTAAGTAACCTGAAGCAGCTGAGTTGGGACTAAGTGAAAACATTCTTACTTATATACTTACATAACTGATGACCAAAATGGCCCGTTTTAAAAACGGTCTCAGGGTAAGCAGGAAATTTCCGTTGCCGCTTCCTGTCAGACACCTGAAACAGGAAAGGAGAGGTGATGTCTAAGAGTAACCGTCTACAGCCCAGTGTTCCTCTCTGTGAAGACACCAAGAGCCTGGCTTTGGAGCCAGGGCATGTGGGTTTCAACATCCCATTCTGCCACCCGCAGCTTGGGAAGTGGGAACGGCTTCCTTCGTTCCTGTGCACATCTATTTTGCTCATTTAAAGGGTAACAATATCTACTTTGTGGGAACATTGAAGGGAATAAGTGAGATAATAAACACAACAGCGTTGTTAGCTATAAATGTTTCCATTTGCCCGGATTAACCTACACACTCTGATAACACGAGTTCACATTTACCTGCTTTATATAATCTGAGGGGCACAATGTCTTCAGCCCACAAACTGTCTCACAATTGCCCTGTCCCTGAAGAACAAGGATGGCAAGATAGTGTGAAGCAAAACGCACTGCGCCTCTAGGGTGGATCAAAGATCTCTCACACACACTGAGGAATTTTCTCACACGCTCACCGTCCTCTGTCCTAGGAAACAAATCAGAGTGCAAGAATGCCAGCTCCAGCGGGGCAGAGATTAACGGGGACCCTGCATCTGCCACGGAGCCGGGACGAAGGCTAACAAGCCCCCTGTGAGAACATAAAGGGTCCGCATTATCCTCCATGCATGCTTGCACACTTTAGTCAAAGAGAGAAAAGACGTTGAACTAAACCACATAATCCCTCTGGCATCTCCCTCCTCCTTATTTTCCCTAGCCCTTTTCATTTAGTTTTCACTCCCTTTAATCTGCTTCTTCCCTCAAAGGATTTCTCTCTTAAAATTTGCATTTGAATGAGAGCTCTTCACTGGAGAGAGCCTTTGGTCCAGCCAGGGCCTCTTCAGTAAAACCCAGGTGGGCTGTATCCTGCAGAGACTGGTCCACCTGGAGTCTGCTGGCTGAAGATGTGTGGCCCCTGCCTGTAGTGTATGTACCAAGTGTTTCGGAGCTGCAGGAAGAGATGGCTTTACTCAAAGGCAGGTTTCTTCCTGTGTTCCCTTTCTCCTCTTTCTGGCTCATAAGAATCTCTAGAAGTGATGCCTGCTCAGAACTGGCTGTCCAAGCACTTGGTGGTTAGAGAAAATTAGCAGGGTAAAGCCACCAAATAAAGTTTACTGTTAACAAGTTCCGGATAGGTCCATCTTCCAGAGTTGCTGAGTCCTTTCTTCCCTTCAGAGACCGCAGCAGAGTTTGGCAATGAGGCCAGGCCAGGGACAGCTGGAGAGTCTGGAATGGCACAGGTGTGTGTGTGTGTGTGTGTGTGTGTGTGTGTGTGTGTGTGTGTATGTGTGTGTACACACATGTGTGCGTACGCCTCTTTTTGTGTCTGGACGTTTTACTGAGGCAGTCCTTAGCTTTTGTGTTCGGGCACCTGGGCCTATGATTCTCACAGCAGTTGTACAAAAAGACACATCCTCTGGGCGCACCTCCTGGTGGTTGTTGTTTTTTAGGTAAATTAAACCAAGACCAGTCTTTGGCACTTCTGTTTCTCCAAGGAAGCAGAATACCTCTCAGTAGCTAGGTAAAGGACGCAGACAGGGGCCAGGAAAGGGTGCTGAGGGGGGCAAGGGCAGGAATGTGTCTGAACTTTCCAGGTAGCTGCTCTTAGAGACTTCATTTCTCAAACCCCACTCTGCGACTTGTTTAGTACTGGAAAAATTACAATTGGCTTTCCTTTCTACAGAACAAGCCACACAATTTGGGGTTTTTCTTGAGGTTACACTTAGACAAAGCTGTCATGTATCATTTCTGACGGTTTGCTAGGATGGCTATTTTAGTAACTGTATTTATAACGTGTCTTCTAGTCCAAAGATTCTTGGTGAGATTCTATTTCCACAAGAAGTTGGGCAAAGGGTACCAGATAATTTACTCTGTAACATCCTAAGGTCACACAAGCCTGAAATGGTACAGAGATTTTTGGTGGAAAAAAAAAAGTTGCCAAGATTTCTATTTTAGGATGTGGGTCCACAGTAATCGACAAAGTGAGACACACGGCACAGTGCCCTTTCTGGGGATGCTCTAGGTAGGTGGGGGTGTGCCCTGGGCTCTGTTCCCTAGGTCTCCTCCTCCACTCCACCCCAGAGCCAGATAGTGGGATTTTCCTCCTTGATTCATTTCTTACAGCCTATGGAACAGACCTGAACAACGACCAAGAATAATAGCGTTAGTAAAAATAGCATAACAACTAGCAGTACATGTCAGACATGCATTTTAATTTAAATATGACAGCTTATCTAGCATTTAGAATAATTCCACAAGACCAAAAAATTGGAAGTGATTATTTTTAAATCTGATTTCTCAGCTATTAATTATTTCAATCATAAGAAAAACACACTACTAGCAACACTTTATTTATATTTACTTTTTGGTGTTTGTTTATTTTTGAGACAGGGGGTCACTAAATTGTCTATTGTGCTGGTACTCAGCAGGTAGCCCAGGCTGGCCTCAAACTCATGGCACTCCGTCTACCCTAGACTCCATTACCCCAAGTACAGATGTGGGCCACCAAGCCTGACTACGAACACTTAAATTTAACAAATTCTTCATGGAATTTGCACATCCCTACAAAGCTACAGAAAGTTCCAATGACAACGAATCCCAAGCCCCTGTGAAGGCGCTTCTGTCCCTTTGTGGTCATGACTCACAAGACCACAGGCTCCTCACTGCCAACCCTGTTCTTGGCCACTGATTTCTCCTCATAACGAGAATCAGGATTAGACCCCAACTCTCTCTCTTACTACAGAATACCTTCACAGTAGTCCTGAACATACCAACAGGTCTGCCCCACCCTGAAGGCAGTCTCCTTCCCAGGCTTCACAAGTGCTATCTGAATAGGTTTTCTTTTACACACACACATCAAGAAGACCAACAAAGCGCAGCCATCTAGGCAGAGCTCTAAGGCCCCTCCCTCTCCACCTCTCCACCTCATCTCTCGTGCTTTCCTTATTCTAGGCAGCAGACTGGCGTATACAACGTGTAATTTGGGATGCGGGCAGCAGGGTGGAGGACGGCACCGCCTGGATAGCATTGTTTCCTTTCTTGTAGATCCTGACGGCTGCAATGGACATTAGACTAGACTGCCCAGCTCTTCTTGGGATCTGTACACCACATAATTTCTGTCTAAGTGTCGGCTCCAGACAGCGAAACCACCCGCAAACTGTCACTACTTGGCAGCACACCAATCACACACAGCTACCAGAAATCCCTCTAGGACACCAACCACACTAACAAAATTTCCTTTTTTTTGCACTCAAAACAATAAAGGATATTGGTAAAGAATCATATGCTGTGAGAGGAGAAAGAAGTTAAATTCAGATCTTTTGGAATAAAAATCCCAAAAGTCTTCTCTTTGAAAGACATGAAAACGTTCTCACTTTGCTGAAATACAGCAAAGACACAGCTCACAGTAAAAATGGTTATAAACTAACTGCATACCAAAGGAAGTTAGACTCTTCTTTAGTGCCCGTCCTTGGAGCCCAGAAGTTCCTCCTTTATGCTAGGCAGCAAAGGCTCTCCACAGAGAGTCAGGTTTGGGTGCTGCCCTTGCCAGACCCATGATTCTGATGGGAGACGAAGCTGTTCTGGGAACCTTTCCTGAGATTCTCACACAGAATGGTGGAAATGAGACTGCAGACCCCAGGGAAGCACGGCTTTCTGTGCTTTCAACCGTTCTGAATAAGAACATTTGGGTAGTTTTACAGTTTTGTAGGGCTCAGGCGGAACAAATATGAAGCCCTGAATTCAATTTCTAAAATATGTAATCAAAAGCTGAGAACAGCTGTGCTTGCATGTAATCCCAGGTCTGGGGTGTCAGAGATAGAAGGTTCTGGGGCTTGTTAGCCAGGGAGTCTATCCAAATAGACTCCAGGTTCAGTGAGAGACCCTGACTCAAAAGATAAGGTAGAGGACAGCTGAAGAAGACACATTATATCTACATCTGTACACACACACACACACATGCACACACACGCATGCGCGCACACACATACACACATGCATGCACACACATGCACATACATACACGCACACACATGCACACACACACATGTGCACATGTACACACATGTATGCGCCAAGAAATGTAAACTGATTTGCAGAAAGTCATGCTTCTTCATGTCAAAGGCCAATGGAATTGGACTTCATTAATTTAATCAGAAGATCCATTTTATACTCCCTCCATGATTAATTTCGGCAGCATCCCTGGTTTTTAATTCTTTCTCCAAAGAGTGTTAAAATTCTGCTTTTGTGCTGACAGTCTTGTCTTTCAGCCACAGTCCCACAAGTGCACGTGACAGGTGTCAGTCATGGTACTGAGAGCTCCCATCTCCTTCCCATATTAGCCCTGCTGTGACAGATACAAGGGCTGCTCTTGCTAAAAAAGCGTGGACCTTTCACTTGGGCCTGCAGACACCCAACACATAGCTTAAACAGGTCAAAGTCTGACTTCTCTGCCCTCTTCCCAATCTGTAACTTTGCTTCCTTAAATGTTAGAAATTCAGCTCTGAACATAGACACATTAATCATGCAAGGAGCGTCTGTTATAGACACAAAACTACAGTGCTCACCCCAAAGTGAATAAGAGACGATTTATTCTGAAAGACAACTATGTGTGGCCTTAGTCACACATGACTTAACTCCAAATATTGTGTTCCGACATGTAACAGTTTAATGAAGGTGTCGTCATTGTCATTGTCATTGTTGTTGTTGCTGTTTGGTTTTTCGAGATAAGGTTTCTCTGTGTAGCTTTGGAGCCTGTCCTGGAACTCACTCTGTAGACCAGGCTGCCCTTGAACTCACAGAGATCCACCTGCCTCTGCTCCTGAGTGCTGGAATTAAAGGTGTGTGTCACCACCACCTGGCTCTAATTAATTTTTTTTATAGTAACAGAGCAAAGAAAGTCCTAAGTCAGGGCACTTTTCAAGGACATTGGTGGGAAACCCAGGTAGGCAAATTAGAGCACAGTGGGGACTCTCTGCCGCCATCT